GTCGTGTGGGTGTTTCAAGGGCGCCCGCGCGGCTACCTTCCTTCCTGGGTCTGTTGTCGCGCAGGCCGGGAGCTCCCGCGCAGGCTGGGAGCTCGCGCGCACGCCGCCGGGTGATCCTATTTATCCTTTAATATTCACTCCAAATCCTACTTCTGCAGCACAGTTCTTTATGGTGATGTCTGTCACAGATGCTCTAGGGATGTTCTGTACGAATCTCAGTATACCATCCACGTTAAGCAGCAGAAATAGGTATAGTAGATGAAGCCAATCTTGCAGTTTCCACCATTAGCAATCTCAGCCAAATGACTGACCCGCTGTTGCCTAAGGGAGAGGCGAGGTGACAGAACTGGAAGTTTCCAGCACTTAAAACATAAAGCGAACCCTGAACCTGCAGGGGGCCGACAACGCTTGCGTCTTTCAAAGCTCTTCTACCTCGGAACCTCAGGAAGTTAAAGCTGTGGGGTTGGCCAGGGCGAAGCAGACAGCACACAGTCTAAGTCCACCCGGAGTACCTCGCGGAGAGAGCGAGAAGACCGGCCCTCACAGGTGATTTTTAAGACATCTCTCAGTCTAATGATCATATTTTCATATCTTCCTACTAAGTTCCTTTTCTGTTAGTCCTTTATTCAATGAGTTTTCATTTCTGACATTTCCCTCTGCCTTATTTCATTCTCAGCCTAGTTTTTAATTTATTGTTTGCTGTTTTGTTGATATAATGTCCCAGGATCTATAGTAGTGGGCCGTTTGTAAGTTTTACCTGGAGAAACTTCTCATTGGCACACCTACCCAAGATATTGTTGAAACATGGTCTGTTGAGTTGGGCTTTCATAACAAAGTGCCACCAACCAATGGGCTGGGACAACGGGAATTCACACTCTCATAGATGGGAGTGCAGAAGGCCAAGATCAAGGTGTTCACAGGTGCAGGTTTCCTCTGGGCTTTTGCCCCCTTCTCTGTGGGCTCTCGTATGGCCTTACTTGCATGTGTGAAGGGAGAGAGGAGGAAAGTTCTACTGGATTGGGACTCAATTGATTTTACCACCTTCTTTGATTTTCATACCTTCTCAAAAATCTAATCTGCAAATATAGTCACACTAGGGACTAGGACTTCATTATATGAAATTGGTGTTTAGGGGAATTACGATTCAGTCCGCAACATCTGACAAACAGGGCTCCTAAGACCTTCAAAATCTTTTTTTAATAAAAGGCTGTAATAAGAAAACACCTTAAACTCTTTAGTAAATCATTTCTACTAAGCATTCATAATTGGTGTAGCCCTTCAACGACTGCACAAGCTCATCCAGGAGCTACTCTCCCTGCATAAAAGTTTCAGGATTGTGCTATGAGGTGTTTATTCCGTGATTTGTGATCCAGTTCTGAGGATAATTCTATGTTCTTATTTTCTTTGGCTTCCCCTTAGTTCCAACCTGAATTTATCTAGCATTGTACCTTTCAGTTGTTCCCCCTTCTAGACACACACAGCACAGCTCTGCACCTATCTTTTCCATAGTCACCTCTCTGTTTTGAGCTGCACTCTCTCCTGTTGGAAGTTGAACGCTCCAACAGCACGGTCCTGGTATTTGCATGCGGACCCCAGCTCCCCCAGCTGTCTTCATATCGCTTCTCAAACCTTTCGGATTAATCACCAGATCGACCTCGCCAGACAGGGGCCACACTGCCACGGTCACGGTGCTACAGTGGACGTGGTCTTGCTTCTCTGACTTTGGCACTCTGGACCCTCTGTGCTGCCTCTTCAAATTTCCCTATGTTGAGCCGGGCATTTAGCTCAGTGGTTCCACTGCCTGCCTTGCAAGCACAAGGACCCGAGTTCGATCTCCGGTACCAAAAAAGAAAAAACTTCCTTATGTTTATTGGCTTTTTTTTTCCCCACTACCAGGGATGGAACTCAGGACCTTGCGCTTGTGAGACGATGTGGTGCGGCTTACCTAAATCTCCTGTCTGTTTCTAGGCTTCTGAACCCCCAGTGCTACCAGAAGCGCATCTAAAGCTACCTCCAGAATCAAAGCATTTCATTTCTTTGTATTTTGGGGTTTTTTTTTTGTTTTGGGGGGGATTTTTTGGTTGGGTTTTTTTTTTTTTTTTTTTTT